ATGATGGAATAGTCCAGCAGCCCAGCTTTGCGGACATCGTAGCTATGGTTCACAATTTGAGTTTCCTGAATCAGGCTAGAAGTCAAGTTGGACATCACGAATCCTAGCATCCCAGGCATCCAAGTTTGACGGATTCTGAAGACAATTACAATAGTAATGTCCGATATACATCCTCAGGATACCTATTAATCCCCCATTCCGTGCCAGAAACGTTTCAGGGCCCTTTCAGTGTTTTTTTTCTTATTGTCCCTCGTCTTGTACGCATTGAGCATTCTGCCAATTGAGCTGGTCAGTATATCATACGCTTCTGCAATTCAGCACTCATACACGCAAAACAAAAATCGATGCTTGGGATTTCTTTATTTACATTAAATATAAAGCAATAACACATCGCATAGTTCTTGCAAAGATGTGTGGAGATAGTAAAGATGAAGCAGTCAGTTTTGCTTTTCTCTCACATACATCATGCCTTTTTGAAGGCACTACTTCGCCTCTTCAAATTGAACCTGAACTTTCAGATGATGTTTGAGCCGTTCAAGTTTTTCTTGAGTAGATCCTGTGGCGCTGTTCGACTTGGGAGAGGCATTTTGCACCTTCGCTAGATTCTTAGTCTCTGGTAAATTACACGCCACACCTTGGCGAGACCTGTAGACTCTAGTCGAATGCTAACGACGCTCCTGCTATAGCACAGCCTTACAGGAGTTCACAGGTCCTTACGAGTGAGCAGAGTGATCGATGGGAACCATTAAAATGCCCCCACCAAGCCGAACTACGCCGCTTCTCGTGTTAAAGTAACCTTTAGTCTGAATTCTCCCTGTGGAGGTCCATAATGTTCACTCCAGGCGCCTTCACATGTGCAACCTTCCGGTGCAGGAATGTGATAGACTCCAAAGTGATGCTTGTCGTTTTCCGGAATCTCTCCATTTGGCCTTTAAAAGGAGCACATTATAGTTGACTGTAATCGATCAGTCACTTGGAGCTCCAGAAAGCTCACTTGTATGTGAGAGTGATGTTTGACGTTTGATTGTAGTCTAAAATTCCGGTTGCAGGTCGAATTTTGAACAGGTCGTTTCGGGTACACTTTATCTGGAAACATGCGGAAAGGATTGGATTTCGTTCCCATTTGCCTTGCTAGGAGATGGCGGTGTAACACCTTATCGCGGGCGCGGGTTAGGAGATCTGAAATGTGGCGGCCGGCGCGGCGAAGGTGCCGGGAAGTGAGTCACTGGCGGTTCATCTTCCCTATAGTTTGAATCGCATGTGCCAGTCATGCGATGCCACTTGCAACGCGTTTTCACCGCATCGGCTTCACTTCAGTCTCCCAGCCCATTCCCGCCGCACGGCCCCTCCCAACAACGTTTGCCATCGTGCCGCGGCTTAGCTTCGATCGAATCTCACTTTGAATGCTTGCTTCATATCGCTTTTGTTAGTAATCTTCAGATGTGTCTTGATTTCGCTATTAAAGTCGCCGACGAAACGTATCTGCAACCAGTACATTAGTCCCGCGACTTCTAAAATTTCTGTCCAAGACACCATCGCAATCATCGCGCGCGGCGCGGAACGGCCTATGCTCCTCGCGACCATATGTCGCGTGCGACGGAGATGCTTCGCCGCGCGCGATGTCGCATGGGGTCTTGAAGCCCGCGAATATGAGGTGTGGAAACTTCTAGCATCCAGAAAACTTGGTCAAATCGATGACAATGTTGATGAAACGTGAGCGTATGCTTGAAAAGCTATCCAGAAAGTTTTTTTCTTCTAGCAAAATAGGTAATATTACCTTTTCAGGCTAGCCTATCAATCTAACCAAATTTCTCGGATACCATTTCAAGTATACGCACCATGTCAGAGCATGTCCGAAGATCACTTTGCGCTTTTTCACTACTCTCGGATGTCGAGACTCGCTCACTGGGTAGACGATCGCCGGCACCGTCAGGAGTCCGAGTTTCGACTGCCGCCTTAAAATGGACACTGAGCTGCTGTGCTTTCAAATAAGGCTCCCACTTGACTGGGAATGATTCCTCCTTGAAAGATAGGTTGGCAAGGCGTATAGGGTAAATGCGCCTAGCACAGAAGAGTATTGTGATCAACGCCTACTGCAACCGCCCACTAATGGCCGGACGGCGCAGATTCTTATCGCTCCATTTGTAAAGTGAAGATGATATGGGGTGTTGCTACATCGATACAAGAATGCATACATGCAGCCCTATCTATGAAAGCGGTTGTTGAACGGTGTCAACGGCAACTCGATCCAGCTCGGTCCGGCGGGGAGGCTGCCGTGGAAGCAAAGGCCTTTCTCATCGGTTTTTGGCATTTACCTTCGCCTTTTTCGTTTTTTTTTTCACTATCTAGCACCCCTGTTACTATTTTTGGGCATGTGCCAAAATATCGTGCCTTGTGCCTCGGATCAAAAACCGCTTCGTTTATAGTGCAGGAGGTAGCAAGCGGGATGGCGTACGCAGTAATCGCACCAGGACCCAATGCCACTCAAAATCGACAGGGGCGCTGCGCGTCAACACCATCCTTTAAGACAACTTGTACTGCGATGTCGCGACTGGGAAATAACGCTCCACACCTGTGCTGTGTTCTTTTCTGGCCGCGTATCGCGCGCGGCGAATTCTCGCGGCAATCAGCGTGAAACGCTAGGGAAACGGGCAAACAATTGTAGTTGCCGCGCTGTCGCGCGCGGTCGTTCCGGTAAAATGTTCCAAAACAACAAGGGAGATAGTATACCTAACTGGTGATATCTCTATTTAAGTTCTTCTTCTAGTGAAGTAAGATGAATATCGTACGGGCGGCTGCGAACTATCCAGTTGCCCCATGCGGTAAGCGACTTCGCTGGCCACGCCCACCAACGCGGCGAATTAGGGTTGTGTTGTCACGCACTCCTAATGCTATCAACTATCCATGTTGCGACTGATTGTGGGATAAGATGATCGATATGACGCTCAAACTCGGAACCAGACTTGATTTGATATTAGTTTAAAATGTTAAGTGTCACAGCCTGGGCGCGAGAGTCTCGGTGCACAGTCTTGTTCTTTGCAGATGGTGGAGGGGACCAAAGTTTGGCGCAGCGCCAGCTTGACTGTGCAAGCTGGCAGGTGACCACATGTTGCTGGAAAACTCGCTGGCACCGCTCCAAGCGAACCCTGAGGGAACACAGCGTCCGCAGCGAGCAACTCTGTATGTTTTCGCCAAATGCCTTGCAATTTCATGTGTCCGTGGCAGCGAGAAGGAAATCCTACACATCCTGCCTGTCGTAGGTCGCCGAATTCGTATGCCATGAGAGCTATTCGTTCTCCATGAACAAGTTGTAGCTGGATGACTACGAGCCTAGCATGGCTAAACTGACTCACCGTGTCATTTGGCTCCATCGTTATGAACGACTTCTTGTCTTTTGCTGCCATTGCATTCGCAACTTTCTGTAAGAATGTTGTTCAGAAACTGAACCACACTCGCAATAAACCCAATCACACGCTCTGCTTGTAAGTATGAATGGTTTTGACTATGAACCGTATCATATCGCTATCACCAATGAATGAGCATTTTGCACAACGAGAACAACAAGATTGTATCGCTTTTTCTCGTGTCGCTGAGGGGTGTTCATACCTCGCGAAACTGGCGAAAGATTTGGAAAATGCGCCAAAAAGCTACTTATTGATCTGGAGGATCGAAAAGCGCCGAGTCTTCTGATCCACTGATTCCTTTTCGCGTTTTCTCCGATTCTTCCACTTCCGTGGGCATTGTGACCATCAAATGGGGATCAAGTAATGAACTAAATTAACTCGCGAAGAGTGAAGAGCATGACTGAAACTGAAGCGAATACAATCTAATTCAATAACGCAATGAGTTTATCGCGAGCGTGCGCTCCATTGCAAGCCCGCGGTGTTTGCAGATTGCCGCGCACGCGACGTCGCGTGGTCCTAAAGACCGTCTACTGGAGAAGAAAGCTCGACTCGCTCGCGATGGAGGCGATACACCGCCCATTGCGTAACGCAACACCAACTTCCATTTCT